CTGGTAGCGAATTGACATTGTGGCGTTGCTATACAAACGCTTCAACACTTCGACGTACCAGTAGTCGATTTGGCATCGCTGGAGGGACTGCAGTACTGCCCAGGTTTCGATTGAATCGAAGGCTTTCTCATAGTCCACAAATGCTAAGCAAAGTGGCAGATTATACTCCTCGGTCTTCTGTATAATCTGCCGCAGCGTATGTATGTGGTCTATGGTGCTAAAGCCTTTTCGGAAACCGGCTTGTTCGGGAGGCTGGAAGTCATCAAACCGGCGTTCGAGACGATTCGTAATGACCCTTGAAAACAGCTTATAAACGTGGCTCAGAAGCGAGATTGGTCTATAATTCTTCAACAAGGTCTTGTCACCTTTTTTGAAAAAGAGCACAACCACGCTTCTGTGCCACGCTTCTGGCGTCGTACCCTCGAGAATGACGGAATTGAACAATTTCTGGAGGACTAAGAGTACCGGTTTTCCTCCCACTCGCAAAAGTTCAGTAGTGATCCCCCGATGCCTTGTTGTTCTTGAGCTGTTTGAGTGCCATTCTAATCTCGTACAGGCTGATGTCTTGGATATCCTCGGTGTAATGTCGAGTCAGCTTTGCTCTGATGTCCTGAGCATTGCTTTCAACGGGTTGTTGTGTTGATGTGTACAACTGTCCATAAACCTCTCAAGCTCAATCAGAATCTCCGGTTTTGAAGATACGATCCTGCCGTCGTCGATCTTCAGCTTCGTCATCTGACTCGACCCAGCAGACAAATTTCGTGCAAACACTTTGGAGCCTTGGTTCCGCTCTATTGCCTCCCTAATACGTGTAGTATCGCAGACCTACACGATATAGGAGCGCAGATCGCGTCGCATCGATTTGGAAATTCGTCTGTTAAGTCGACCATATTCTGACATATCGGTTGAAGATTGCAGTCTCATATCCCTCCGGTCCGCCATCAACTTGAGCGTTTCGTCTGAGAGCTTTTGAGGTTTAATACGGCGCGGGGCCTTATAGAACTTAGACCCAACAGCTTGGACTGTTTCTACAAACCCGTTGTTTATTTCGTCCACAGACTCGCATTCAGCTAGACACTGAAAGCGATTGTGTAGTTGGAGTTGGAAGGCTTCGGGGTCCACGATATGAGCAACACTAGGACGGAGCGTAGACTTCATCAGACGTGACCTTTCGAGCTTAACATTGATATTCAATGTGCCTCTGACGATTCGATGATCGCTACCGGTTTTCACCCTGCTGATCACGGAGACATCATTAAATATGTGCTTTCTGGTTGTCATGATGAAGTCGATCTTATTTTTTGTTGAACCATCAGGGCTCATCCAGGTCCACTTCCTGGAGGGTCTCTTCTGGAAGAAGGAGTTCATCGCAAAGAGTCCCTTCTTCTCCATGAAATCGACCAGCTTTTGGCCCCGGTGGTAGCGCCGCCCATACCTAAATCGACCCACCCTCAACTCATCGCCGTTTGAAGCGCCCAGCTTCGCGTTAAAATCTCCCATTACAACGGTGAAGTAGGTATTAGTCGTATGTATGGCTTCAGAAATCTCCTCATACATAGCCTCTATCTCATCGTCGGAGTGTGAAGAGGTTGGGGCGTAAACCTGTATGACCTTTAGCGAATACCTTTCGGTAATTCTGAGTATAAGGAACGCCACTCTGCTCGACACACTATCGATCTTCACCACGTTGTTCACGAGGGACTTGTGGACGAGAAACCCAACACCACCTTGAGATTTTTGATCTCCTTCCCGGAAGAAGAGCATGTTACCGGACTCAAGGAGTACCGTATCCTGGCCCTCTGTTCGGATTTCGGATAATCCCACTATGTCCCATCGCAACTTGCTCAATTCTTCCTCCAGCTCTAATAACTTCACGTCAGTCCTCAGTGTGCGGACATTGTATGTTGCCAGGGCCAGAGTTCGTTTGTGTTGGTAGCGCCGAATCTGCCGGGGATTCTTAGCACCCCCTGCCCCTCCGTTACCTGTTCTGCTACCAGAGACAGGAATAGAGGGGCTGCCGGGGACTGGGGTCCGTACATAATTGTCGTCCATCATGAGGGGGGGGGCCCTCTGCCCTGATTGTTTTGCCACAATCCCCACGCTTGGCAGGCGACTTGGGGATCGCAGTAGGTGGTGGTAGATAATACCGAGAGGCGCTGCTGCCCGCCTTCCGTATAATCCCTCTGTCGGCTCCTACGACACCCACGGGAGGATATGGGGGGGTACTACTCTTAGGCCGGCACCCCACGGCCATATGCTTATATTAATAGATAACTTGTAAAAGTGAGTGATAATGATCTTTGTGGCCGAATTACCGGTTTCTGATCATCGCAATATCTGCGGTCTCCGTTTCTTGAAATGATTTATGTAAATGGTATTACTTATGATAAAGAGCTGGTAAGCTTCATTCGCTTGTTCTTCTTGTCAGCTAAAAGACGTCCTGAACAAGTGGTAGGGAAGAAAAAAAATTTTGGACGATTCAAAAGTGCTTTTAATAAGCCTTCTTGAATAAAGATATTTTCGTTAAATTTTTCCTTTTTTTTCATTACAGCTTAAAGGCGTCATTAAACCTTAATGGACGTTTGTGCAACTGACCATTAGTCCTTCCCCAATTAAACGATAGTCAATTTATAATCGTACTTAATTCTACTGTCCTTTAAGTGAAAAAGGCGTATCCGGGCTATTTCAGATTGATATTTTCTAAAGCTCGGTGACGTAATAGACAGAGGTCGGAATTAGGTAGAGTTATTTATGTACTTGCATCGAAATGTTGATATTAATGTGGACCTTACCGGGATTTCTAATGGATAATCTTGGACATCTTTGGACATCCGATGTCATTGATGTAAGTTTGGCAACGTCGTGTGTGCAGTAGTTTAAATTGTGTAAAAGTAAATAACTTTTTATTTATAAAATCACGGGATTTTTTCTGCTCTTTAAAATGAATCTCGGGATTTGAGGCATATCCACTTTATTCTTTCGCTGTATGAAATCAGTGTAAGTACATGAATAACTCTACCTAATTCCGACCACTGGTAATAGATAAACGCCGCGGCTCGCGATTATCGTTGTTAAGCAACTTTCGCAAGGGTCGGTCACGGGATAAGTGAACAAAAAAATTATTATAAGCTTTTGTTTCCTCTTAAATTATAATAATTGTCAGGTTTTAAAATTATATTTTTATAGAAAAATGCTGCTTTAAAATTGTTTAAAAGAACACTGCTGCATCCCGCGGAACGCCCGTGTCAAGCGAAATGAGAGTAAGCCTATTATAAAATAGTTTAAACACCGCGCAAACCTTAATTTTCTAGATTAAATTATCTTTTTGACACTTACTATTTAAATGACCGAAACTAGGTTGAATTATTTTTTAATTCCACTATTTTATATTTAATTATATTATATTTTTATAAAATGTTAATACCTACCAAACTGAACCTTATACCATAGTAGGTAAGTTGTTAAAGTAGATAACTGCATTTGATATGTCTCTATATAATTTTAGACATCTAAAATGTCATACAGAAACTAGCTGTTTTCTCGCGACTTCGCTCGCGTAAAAAATGGTGATTTATTTTTTAAATATAAGCCTCTGTCACCCGCGTATGATGTAGCTTCGCCTAGGAAATGATATTTTTTTAAATCGATCCAGTAGTATCGAAGCCTATTCGTTGTAAACAATCAAATCTGTCGTCTTTATAATATTGATATACATAGATAGATAAATAAAAATAAAAAACTAATAATGTTGTAATATATGTATTTGTTATTTTAATAAAACTTAATGGAAATGAAAATAGGTATAAATTTAAAATGTTATACTTATACGATCTTAAAAAATACTTGAAAATTTAAAACAAATGCTATTTCATCGTCCAAATAATATTGTTTTCATTAAAAGTTTTTGGAGACACCTTTTAACAAAAAATGGTGATTTATTTTTTTAACATTATTTGTAACATAAAGAAAATAACATTGATACTATTAAGAACATAACCACTCTATTACAAAAGTATTTATCTACGAGTATAATATAATGTTTGATAATATCAATTTCCAATGGTGGCAAAAGCATTTTCGGTAGTTATTCATTTCCTAACTTACGAAACGAATACGCGTTTCATATAAGGTGACATATTTTCTTTTACTTATTTCATTTTCACGCCTATGTCTCATTAAATAAAACGATCTAAAAATTTAAAATAGTTTTATTTATTTCTAATTAGTTTATGCTCTGTTTACATCTCGAAATTATAATTTATATTAATTTGCTTAGGACGTTCCAATAATTTAATTTGGTTTAAATTCAAATACATAATTTTAGTTATCAACCAAATGTATTACAACACACATATAGTAATAGTCGTTATGGGTTATTATGAATGAAGTACTAAGACGAGAATAGAAAAACAATTGGTCAGTGATTTATTACAGAAAATACACAATGATGTATTTTCAGTTACTATGGTAACTAATCATTAATTGATGACTATTAGTAACCTAGTGATAGATCAGATCAATCTGATGTTACCTTACGTCGAATAAAATTTTTATAACAAAAACAAATCATAATTGAAGAATGAAATAAAAAAAGAAATATAAGCAAAAGCTTATTTCGTTGCTTCTTTCAAGTTTAATTTTAAATTTATGTACAAAACTCCACACAGACCTGGAATTCGTTAAAATCTGATAAAAGAAATCACATTCAGATTTTCCATGATTCCTGGAAATATTTCTAATTACTTTTGAGTAAAACCTTACACGACTTTTAACGACAACTTAACAACAAAAGTATAACAAATCCCACTCGCTGTTCTCAGGGAATACACTTGGCAACGAATATTAAATTTTATTTAATAACTATAAAAATAATTATAATTTATTTTGCCAGAGACATTGTTACATAGTTATTAGTCTACGGTACACTGGTCAGCATGTTTCACAAAATATTCAGAATATAAAATATAAAAATGTCAAAATTAATATATTGCGCTAATTCTTCAATTGACAGGTAATTTCTCATGAAGCCAGGTCCTCTTGCCTTCGTTGAATTCCGCTGCAGTATGATCAGTGCCTTCGAGAATCCATTTAGTGGTGAGAAGTCCTTCGACTCCAACTGGCCCTGGGAAAATGACGAAACTCTACACAACCAAAATTTAATGTACAAACATCCTTTGCTCAAATATGAACTTTCCAGACAAGCCTAATTAATAAAGTAAGTGTTCTATAATGAATATTTTAGCAAAACTTATAATTACCAACAAAACTTGTTTAAAGTAACTAACTCACTATGTCAAGACGGGAAGACAGTATATTGTGTAGCTTATTTCTTAAAATTAATTATAAGTAGTAACAGCTGATAATTAATAAGTTTTATCTATTACAACACTTTTCTGAATAAACTTTGCTAACTTACTTTTGACTTTGCGAATTTTTAAGTAGATATCGTAATGTTAAAGTTATTACAATAGTCGCAAGATATTTCCCGATACTAATAAATAACATGGATGATGACAGGATAAAAAAAACTATTTACTCCATCAGTTAGATAAAAGACAAATATAAGATACGTATCGTTTCTGCTTGAATTTAAACAAAAAATGGCTTAGAGGTAGAGGAGTGGGGGCTTGCTACGTTAGAGTTTCGTAAAAAATGTACAAAAGCGTGACGTCATGTGACATTTCAAGTCGATGTATCTGAGAAAGGTAGTTAATATTCTTCAATAATTTTCCGACAAACAAACAAACAAGAACTATTAGCTGGCTACAAAGCGAACAATGATTAAAAATATTGTATGAGTGGCATAGGCTTCTGAATTGTTCTATGAAGTTCTGTATTTAATGTTTTTCTCAGTCGTGTTGTTCTTAACAGAGCATCATGGTATCACTCGTATCTATAATCGAAAACGTTATTTACTTGAGAAATTGTCACAACTTTATTAATGGGCGAAATTTTGAATGAAGTTTTGACATTTTCTCAAGTAGTTTTACTTCTCATGACTATTGATACAAAGTTTTTATGTAGACTGTCTCCAACGGCTGATTTTATTTGGTCAATCCATATCATGGATTTTTTGCCACGTGGTTCCTCCGACTCTTCCTTGGACCACCAAACGCTCTATAGACTCATAGTTTAGCCTCAATAAACGCCCAAAGATCTTCATAATTGAAAACTGTATTAGGGTTGACCGATGCTGTGTGATGCCGCTTTCTTTATAAGTATGAAGACATTTATGCAAAATTCTGTCCAAGATACTGCCAGCATTAAAGCATCTACCTTTCCCTTTAACAGTTCTCGTTTTATTGTACGGGATGCTGTAGATCACTGATGGTCATGGAGTGGGGCCCCGTATAACAATAAGGAAATGAAACGATACAGAAATTTATTGATAGCGTTACTTTAACTTTCACATAATCCTAGGAACAGACTATAGAAACCATCAGCATACCTCTTGCATGTATCCTGGCGGTTGAGATTCCAACTTCAGCTCCCAAACCAAAACGGAATCCATCCGCGAAACGAGATGACACGTTGTGGAAGACACACGCGCTGTCGACGGAGGTCAGGAATTTCCTTGCGGAATTTTCTGTGTAATATCAAAATTGAATATTATTAATTATTTACCTATTAGCAAACAAAGCAAAGTTTTAATTTAAAAGTACTATTTATTATTATTTTTAGACACATACCACCAAAAAAGGATTCTCCACATATTTAGATCGAAATATGTGGAGAATTTTTAATCAACGAATACGTCATTTGGAACTATAAAGATTTTTACGATGTTGTCGAATCATTCTAAATGTGATTAAAAACGTACTAGGATATAAAAGTAGTTATGTAAATGTAACTGTTATGGTTATTTTTCTTAAACTCTATTATTATGAATGAGGATTAAATTGAGTGTTCTGTCCGTCAGTAAATACAGTGGAGCCCCTTTGTTCTGTAGGGGTAGTAAAATTCAATCTCACATATAAAATAACGTAATTATATTTTGGCAAAAATATTTAAATAAATTGAAAACTATAGAATATATTATCTACTGTAAATAACTGGTGATATTTTAAGGGCTAAATCGAAAAATTTAATTTCCTGCTAGCCGCATTACTCTTGAAGATAAACGCTACTGGGAAGCGGACACACAATAGCAGACACATCATACTTCAAGTCATTCTTTTGTTTTTACGCCTTTGTTTCGCTAACGCTGCAAGTGATGTCAGTACAACAAAATAATTCGTTTTTCTGAAAAATCTTCGTTAAGTTTGTCTCAAAAGCGTTGGTACGTTAAAACAACTTAACATATTTTAATTTGTTCTAACTTTACTATCAATGGTACACATCTAGTAAGAATTATGTCAAAGATGCAATATAACAATACCAGGAAGTTCGAAAATAACAGTTAAGGTAAAAAATGTATGTCGGAATTTCCAGTAACATATCATGTTAATATACATTGTTGTTGATGAAACAGGTGTTTACGACCGAATAAAAACATCTACATGACCCGTCATTGAAGTTTAATTTAATTCTTATCTTTAAGAGTTCTCTGTTTGATCGCAACTATTGTATCATTATCATTTGTGGCGATAGAAATGAATCCATGGTCTAATGAAGTTTACTATCTTTACAAGTTGACTCTTTTTATTTTTTAAATTTACTCCTACAGACATTCATAAATGCATTTATAAAGTTACAAACCAATCACTGAAGTTTTTGAATATTTAAAAATTATGCACAAACCATTCTCCGTGACGATGACATCTGTGTGAGAGCTTCCGAATTTATGTATGTGGTCCACAGCGTCATCCAGATCTTTAACTACTTCGATGCAGCATTCAAGTGCACCATACTCATGACGCATAGTTTTAGCAGGAGGAGGACCAAAAGTCAATTGAGTAGACAATTTAGGTCCAGCATGAATCTTAACACCTTCTCTCTTAAGCATGTTACAAATGTCAGTGAACAGAGATCCAGATATGTGTTCCTCGTGAATAAGCAACGTCTCCATTGCATTACAAGCAGCAGGATAATCACATTTTGCATCACGTACAATTTTTAAAGCTTTCACTGAATCGGCATCTTTGTCTAAATATACGTGACAAATACCCTCAGCATGTCCAAGTACAGGAATGTGTTGTGACTGTTTTTGGATATTCCTCACTAGGTCCGAAGATCCTCGTGGTATTATTAGATCTATATGTTTCTCCATAGCTAGTAAATCACTTATCTCTTCTCTTGTAGAAACAAGAGAGATAGCGTCTTCAGCGCCAACAGTACCAAGAGATTCTTTAACTAAATCCATTAAAGCTTTATTTGAATATGCTGCTTCTTTGCCTCCTTTAAGAAGAAGACCATTAGCTGAAGCCATCGCTAAAGCAGCTACTTGCGGTAAAGAATCGGGCCTTGACTCAAAAATAACCAATAATACCCCAATAGGGACAGTTACTTGACGGAGCATTAAGTTTTCGGCTAGTTTGGTTTTTTTTAATACTCTCCCCACGTTATCATAGCTGGAATCTGCAATCTGTTTTAAGCCTATTGAAAGGGTTTTCAATTTTCCAGGACTCAATGTAAGCCTATCAAGCAAGGGTTTAGCAAGTCCACTTTTAGTAGCTTCTTCCAGATCTTTGTTATTTGCTTCTAATATTTTGTCTTGTTTATCAACAAGTAGATCAGCTAGAACGTGTATAGCCGATGCTCTATCCACTGGAGATAACTGCTGTAGTATTCTGCTCCCTGTTCGAGCTGAAAGCATATTTATAAATATTACAATAACTACAAGTATTAAAATTAATAAATAATTTAAGTTTTCTATATTTATTACCATTCTCAGCTAATTCATCAACCGAATTTGATGAAGTAGATGGACAATCAGTAAAGAAAGTACCAACTTTCCTTCCACTAATGATAGTTTTGATAGCCTTCTCCTGCATGCCATTGCAAATGACCACGCTGACTCCACGAGCCATAGCCCATGTAGCAGCGTTCACCTTAGAATCCATTCCTCCAGTGCCGACCTATGACACATAGCTGTGTTGAATTTCAATAATATTCAATGAGTTAAAGAAAGTTTAGTAGATACATAATATATTATGTTATAACATAAGACTTGTTTGTGGTATTCAATCTTAAACAGTAAAATGATCTACCTCTTTACGTGAAAAGAAATTAAACCATTGTAATTGTATATTATGCTGTATTAATATTATGCGTGTCGAGTATATCATTATTCTGACGTTGAAATTTTAAGGCGGCTTCTAAAATAAGATTTCAATAATTATTTCAAAGTAATTGTTACATTCAAGATAAAGTAACAAATTATTAACTGTTTGATTAATTGCATATTCCATATCCAGCAATAATTATAATTTACAAATACACACAATTCATTTAAGAATAATTATAGGATAAACCAGTTACTCTACACCTAAACTGAATGTAACACAATTTTATTCTAATTGTAAACACACAACACGTAATACGAAACCCAAATAAATTTACTAAAGCATTTTTGATATGCAAATTAGAAAACAACATTCCGGAAACATAAATCAGAAACAAATCATATTTTACTAAGATAGAATCTGTACGTCCAAACCAGAACTCATTTATCTTTGATTAGGGAAATAACATTATTAATTGAATATGTTTCCACTTGGTTGTGCACTGTAACAGGTGTAATTTAGTCTCCATTCACCCATCTTTAATTAATGGAAATCTAATTAAAGACTACACGAGTAGTAAGCGCCGCTAAGAGCTGGAATTAATAATTACCTTAGAAGCTATTACACGTGTATTTTATTCACATCAAAATTGTTTGGTTTCAATCGAGTACCACAAGCAGAGCATCTTATAAAAAATTGAGAACCTCTGGTATGATTGAATTAACTAATAGACTAATTTCATATTTTACCAATGTAACAATCTTATGTCTGAATTTAATGAACACTTGAAATTTGGTGATATAAAAGACAATGAAATACGTATGGTAAAATTATGTTTATCAATTTGCGAAGAGGGAAATTAATGTTCCCCTAGGGAATGATTTTAGTCATGAAATGTTAATTAAAATATATTTTCCTTAATGAATTTAAAACGTGTTCAAGAAGTCGTATTAGTTGATTAAACTACCATCTGCAAGGGGTAAACTTTTGGTGTATCTTTTCAAAATATATCTCTGAAACTATGGTTCTCTTACTGAGGTCATATTCTGACCCAGAGCCTAAAAATTACAAATATACTTTAACTGTAATTATGCTATCAAATTATTGACTTCAAAGTTAAATTAATATTAAAAAACTCTAGACATTATAATGTTTTTAGTAAAGAGTGAATCGAAATAGCTGGTAAAATATTGTCTTAGTAAATTGTACTTAGAAATTAAAAAAAGCAACACATACAGTACGTTATGATAAAGTCAAAAATCTCCAAACCTTAGATTTCTGTCCGAATTGCACCTGTTCCTTGGAGGTGTAGGTGTGCATCATTCTTGCTCCATCTTCCCAAGGTGGTTTATTGTAAATACCGTCCACATCCGACATCATGATCAGTAAGTCTGACTGGATCTCGGCGGCGAGTAACGCTGATAAACTATCGTTATCTTTAATCCCGATACCCTTAAACAAACATTGTCATTTTACATATTAATTAGGTAGAGATGACCTGGTTTTGGCCACTGACCAGTTTTAGGTCCCTTTTTGATTACGTACCCTGTTTTGGTCACGGTTCTCCTTTGACCATTACACTAACATTATATAGAGCAATGCTTATATAGATATGAAATTTTGCATCTGGATCCGGAAAACGTTACGGATATGAAATTATTTCAGAAAACAACATAAAGCTCGTCTAGTTTAAGACCCTCCACTTCATATCGGATCTTAAATGTACACTCGTTAGGTAATACAAAGAGAGGGGTCTCTTTTTAGAATAAATAGGTATGACGGTGGTACCCTGACGTTCCATTTCAACAAATATTTCACATTTCAAAACTGGAATGAATAATTGTATCAAAGAAATTATATGAACCAAAACACCACATACAGACACATACGTTTAAATTAAGAACTTTTGCAGAATGAACTGTATAATTTTCTTCTCGCACTCATCTCGTCCCCCCCCTCATGAAACCGAAGTTCTTATTAGACAATTATGTGTTAATCTCCAAAATAAATTCACTTTGGCGTGAGTTCTTAAATTAAATTTTAATTTAGTCTAATCTTAATAAGAAAACCTTTGGGGAAGAGGCTCGTTTCTAATTATATAATGGATATAATTAGATGCGAATACATTCAGAGTTTTCAGAGAAATTTGGCGAAATGGAAGCGAACTGATTGTGGCAAACAAAGCTTGTTTTATTTAAGTTTTTAAACTCTATACAGGGTGGTAGCTCAGTGACGTAGAGGATTAGCGCTGCGGCTCGCGATCGTTGCTGCTAAGCTACTTTTGCAAGGGTGTGTCACGGGATGGGTGATCAAAAAAATCTTATCTCGAGCTATTCCGTGCTTCGGAAGGCACGTTAAGTCATTGGTCCCGGCTGCATTTGCAGTCGTTACTACTCTCCAATCTGCATTAGGTCAGCGGGGAGGGTCATGACCCATCCACCTTAACCATCTTGGATCTATAAGGAAGGCCTGAGCCCATGTAGTGGGGATGTAAAAGGGCTGATGATGATGATAACTGGGGAGTTATCATTACGACCTCTGTAGCCGAGTTGGTTTGAACACCGGTTTCAAGATGTCGCCCTCTGAGGTCCCGGGTTCGATTCCCGGTCGGGTCAACGTAGAAAATAAACTTTTCTATATTGTTTCGAATCTGGTTGTTGTGATACCTTCAGATGCTCCATAATACAGGAGCTTTAGCTACTCATCTTCGAATCTGAACAATGTATGTGGTGTTGTTTAATATTTGTTTATAGTACAAATTGTAGGCCTATTCTGTTTCTACAAAAATGAATATTCATCTATTTTGAAGGGTAATACTATTTATTACGAGTCAAAAAAACCCATTTTACGATAATATATAGTACAACGGAGGTAGGACCCGAGATTGTCTTTGATAAACAGATAATATTAATGGATTATGATTGAAAAAAATTATAACAGCGTATCATAATTTTCCGAGATTTCGTTCATGGACCAACAGAGCAAGCCCTCAGGAGTTAATTAATAGGACTTAGAGAACGGCGATCGTAAAATTGACTAAGGCTAAGAAGACGGTAAAATATCTATTAATTCTTGCCCAAACCCTAATTTAAACGAATTACTTCCAATGTTGTTAAAATTTTAAATACAGATCTAATGCCCCTTCGGAAGATTCTTGTTATAAACTAAATTATCTTCAAATATAACGTATATTGTAGATAATGGTAGGCATTCTGTTGCAGACAAAATATATCAACTTGTAATCCTAATTAACCGTGCAAATAACTAACTAAAATCTCCTTACCCATGTAAACGAGTTATGTAATGTAACTACATTGTTAAGTAACTTTCGTAATAGCCGATCATTGGATGGGTGACCAAAAATTTATTGTCTCCAGCCTCTACAGGCTTTGGAGGGTACTTGAAGCTGTTGGTCCCGGCTGGATCTGCAACCGTTAATAACCACCAATCCGCATTGGACTCGTGTGGTGAGCCATAGCCCATTCTCCCTATTCGATTTGATTCGAAAAAGTTCATAGGGAAGGCCTGAATGCAACAGGCCTGACATTAATAAGCTGGTGATGTTGATATAGAAGTATCATTATATTATTTTAATTATTTTAATAGTGTGACAACAGAATAACGTTAAAACAAACCTAAATTTGTTCTTTTTACGGTTCCGTGCTTAAAGGGCAAAAACGGGACCCTATAACTAAGACTCCGCTGTCCATCAGTCTGTCACTAGGCTGTTTCTCATGAGCTAGACAGTTAAATTTTTACAGATGATTTATTTATATTGCCGCTTAAACGAATCAAATAATCATTTAAGAGGACTCCCATTCAATACACGTGTTTCTTTTTATTGCTTTTTTATAAATAATCGTAGAGAACCCTTCGTGCACGAGTTCGACTCGCAATTGGCAGGTTTTTATTAATTTATTTTAGTGCATGAGATTTTTCACCACTTTCTGTTACTGGACAAAAGTGTAATCTATGAACTGATTAAATAGACAAAATATCCAAACTATTTCCCGTCAGCTTTTATCACACTGTCTATCATTATTCTATTCTAAAAAAAAATAAAACATCTGTATAACATTGAGCGAGATCAACAACGATCACTAACAAACACAAATTCCACATCCATTTCATGTAAATAAGTTTCCTAACCGAGCTACCGATTAGCATAGAATCAATTTCGTACGATGTTGGCACAAATGTTGTTCTGTAGCTTCAACTGATGTTTCATTTATGTGTGACTTCATACGAGATATTTTTTTTAATTATATTTTAATGTTCACCAGCTCAATGGGATAGGGATCGATTATATGGACTGAGCATCCCACGGTTCTATTATTTCATAGTATTTTTTTTAATGAATAAATTAAATTAAAATATGATCAATAATATTAATACAAATGATAATTATATAATGGAACAAGGAACATAACATTATTTCTGTCTGGAAATGGGCGTTGACAGCTGCACTTTAGTTTTTTTTTTTAATACCGCGGCTATTATAATACTCAATAGTCTTGTTAAACTATATGTTCTAATAAGTATATTTTTATTTTTTTATTGTTTTTTTTATATTCAACTGGAATTACAGAAACAGTTTTTTTTTATATTCAACTGGAAATATAGAAAACTGGCCAACTTTCTACCTGTCACCTGTCAAACCTGCTGTATAGTGTAGTCTTAGTAAAAGGTTTTTTTTTCCTTTAAGGCAAGGAACTGATTTACCTCTTCCATTAGGGTTCCTTGAAGGAACCCTAATGGAAGAGGTAAATCAGTAAAAGAAGTTCCTTAAATCCTGAGTTTCAAAAATCAAATGATATACGTTTTGGTCTAAACAAGAGGGGCGGGGGAGAATAATCCAAGATCCGGGATTTTTACATTAATCATAAAATAATTGAAAAAAAATTTTTATCAGGTACTCCCTAAAATACCGGGTGGGGTACAAGATGGTGTATTTAAGTATTTTTAAAATTGTATACTTGTATATTAAATAATCAATGATCTTATTAATATATTTGAAATTTGCGGATTTCAAATATGCATATAACTTAACTATAACCATCAATAAGGAAGGCCTGAGCCCCTGCAGTGGGGACGTAAAAGGGCTGATGATGATGATGATGATATAACTTAATACCCAATAAAAATAAATATTCTCACCTTCTTGCCAGTGCCTGGTACCACTGAATCGTCGTGGATGTACATCGGCGGGCTCACCGCGTCGTTGGTGTTAACAATCGGCACGATGTTGAGCGATATCAACTCTGAGAGTGTGCAGAACAAGTTCTTCCGGGTCTCTTCGTTGTAGAAGTCCGGTTTCGTCACCAACACCTGGAACATAAATAATATGTTAATCAAATTTCAAAATTAAACCTCCACGGAAATACAATAATTAAAACAAAAACGCATTCAAGTTAGAAAACTTTTGCGACATAAAATTACTACATGTCATATAAAGAGAACGAAAGGAAAGTAAAAAAAGTGATAGTGACTTCTTTAACTAACGACATATATAAACTTCGCATTAAACCACTTATATACTACTCAAACGATAAACTATATGTAGCCAAAGGTTTTTAACTGTAAAGGACACCGAGCCACGCCGCGACAACAGCGCCACCAACGGAGAAACAACGAAACCTTCCCCTCCCCGCGCGGTGCGGGGTAGCGTACCCCCACTCTAAGGAATCTAATAAGATTAACTTATTTGTGTATGAGCTAAGTGCGATCAATCAAAATGTATATAAGAAATCGATTTTGCGCAATAAAGCATGTCCTGCCTTCGAACGTTCTCCGAGTTTCTCCGAGCCAAGTGTTTTACTTCGATACCTCTGCTATCTGCCCGCTTTCAAATCCAGCTACAGTCCATCTGCTACATTAATATTATGCAACTGCTTAGATTATACTAAGTTTTTTAACATTACCAACGTCTAATAATCTAAGTAGACTTAAAAGTAGACGAAATTATCGTTTTACTATATAAACTAATAATATATGCTTATTTTCTATAGTAGAATGAAAAATAATTAGAATAGTGATATTAGAATTTTTCCAACCAACGTACCCCATTTTCAAATTCTTTCAAGTTATTGCTGTAAAATTGTTGAAGTGATATTAAACAATGCTTGTGGTGGATTTTCTCTTCATCGATGCGGTTTCATTGACTTGAATTTATATGAATACCACGGAATCCTTTTATCAAAGGCAAAACTAATATGAACGGCGACTAGGAATTCAAGGTATTGCACTTTCAGATCGATTGACTGTATAAGTTAGAATAGTTTATCAATAAACTCTAAGTTGGATAGCAAACTAAATTAGAGTTTATAGAAAAACTATTCTATACTTATGTATACCTATATACCTATGGTTTGCTATACCTATTATTATGCTTGTTATAAATATAAATATAATATTTATAACAAGCTTTTGCCCGCGACTTCGCCGCGTGGTAAAGTTACTTTGAGCAGCATCTAACGAATATTTATTTAATCGTTCCATTAAGTACTGATAGGTTCAAACTAATACATTTACATCCTCCATCATCCCTTATTTTATCACCATGGGGGTTGAATTTATCAAACGTCCATCGTGTAGGTCCAATCTTTAATTTCAGTTCAATCAGTCGAAAATCTAAGATTTCTACAAAATTTCATTCCATATTTTATCACCTAAGGGGTGGAATCAAAATCCTTTCTTAGGGGATAGTAGCTTTATGCGTGAAAAGTCTCAGCCCGATCGGTTTAAAATTGACAGTTTCATACGAACTTTCTTCCCCTATTTTATCCCCTTGGGGGTAGAATTGATCTAAATCCTTTCGTAGCGGATGCCTACGTCATAACATCTTATTGCATGCCAAATTTTAGCCCGATCCGTTCAGTGGTTTGGGCTGTGCATTGATAAATCACTAAGTCAGTCAGTCAGTCACCTTTGAGTTGTATATATTTAGAAGGGGAAAAATCATATTGTTTGTTTTTTATTTAAATTTATGAAGATCGAAACACAACAGATATCAATCATAAAAATTACATCACATATAGGTCTAAATAGATTTTAGCTAGACTGACATCCTTGCACGTATTACGAATAGATTAAAAAAAAACAGTTAAAATGATTGTATAGGATTATTTCAAATAGAAAATTCATTACATTAAAATTGTTTGCATTGAATAAGGCTCCGAATCTACTGGACCAATCTTTAAAATTCTTTCACTACGGGAACGGATATAAGCTATTATTTACGCGGGTGAAGTCACGGGAAAATAGGTAATTGAAACTATATTTAATAGGAAATTTGGGGAGCGGCCAAGAATTACTTTCGAGCAAGTTATTAAAAGAAATCAATAGAAAAAGTACTAGGATTGCAGAAGTTTGTAGGAAGTTAATCTAATATCTTAATTAATATATAAATTACGCGAGCGCAGTTTTAAATAATTTTGATCTTATCGTATTACCTCATAATACCAGTTGACAAACGTGAAAAAAATAATAATAATATAATATATATATATATATATATATATATATAATTAAGTTTGAAGTGCACGCAGAAGCCGTGAACATTTGAAACATAACTCGAGCACTTATAAAATTGAACTGTAGTTTGACTGGTGTATTTATACGTATATCAATTTAATTAATTAATTAATGCTAAAATTTTCAACTCCATCAAAGATCCTGCTATTACTTATTTGAGCCAATTTCAATCTCTAGTTATGCTATATTAATATAAACTTAATTAAGCTAATTTTAAACTCTTTTACGAGTATTTCAAAATATATTGTATTAAATTATCAGAACAGCAATGTAGCCGTCCCTATATTTGTACTAAATTATTAACGTGATTTAGTTTTCCCTTAATATTTTTATTCTATTATAAAACTTCATAATAAATAACATAACACTATACTAATATAGAATGTTAAATAATTAAAATAGATATTAAATGAAACCACTTTAAATGTTTTCATCACGTTTGTATTTTTATGGCTTGCTAATGCTAAGGACAAACATCTTAGTCTTATATGAACGAACACGGAATTGTAAAAGGTTCGAAACGTCATAAAAAAAAATCCAAATGCTATTAAACCGTTTAATTTGGGTTTGTTTTAACATAGTTCTATAGTAATAGATATTATTGTGGGCTGAGTAATGAGTATGATGTAATGTCAAAGAATACGGAATAACTCAATTAAAGATACTCCTATTTCTGAAACTGAAAATCTTTATTATATATTGAGTCTAGTATGTTTTCAAATCTACGGCGACAGACCTTGTACTTGAATTTGTACCTTGTACAATTGTTCTCACAATGAAAACGAAAGCTTGACAATACTAAACCTAAATAAAGTCTAGTTTATGTAATAGTGTCGTTTATATGTGTATTTACAGAGAATCTAACAGCTGAATACAATAAAAACAAATTATTATCAAGATAAAACATAGTGTCCACCCGATGAAAGATGAAAAGTTACTTAACTGACATATCCAATTAGAGAAAAATTTAGAAATACCAACAACAATATACATTTAGTTCACCGTCAACCAATAAAACAGTTCTACGAAATTGTAATTATTAAAGCCTCGTATTTGGTACTGTCACTGAATTAAATTTATTAAAGCAACAACTATGTTGAAAAAGCGTCTGAATAGAATATTTTCACGTTTTCCTTTTAAATAAAATTTCATTTTCACTCTAATCACTTCAATGGTAAGTGGAAAATCTTTCATCTTAAGAAATACGAAAACGAAGGCAAGAACACAATACCGATTTTTTAAATAATAAAATAACGGTAACCGTTTATGTATAAATCATTATTTACAGTAGTAGATTTTCCTAATTAAATTGGAATTGAAAAATGATCCGATAATTTTTCATAAACGAAGGGTTACTCAGTTAATGCTTACGCGTCCGACCCCGGTTCCGATACTCCTATCGATTTAAAATATTTATTTTTATTAAGAGCTTTTTATTATATTCTTTCCGTTCGGATGAATTGGAAGTTGTTAAATATTTCGGACGGACTCACTTTAAATTTTTTAACAATCCTTATTTCTCGTTAGTTAATGAATATGTAATTTTTTTAACAATCCTTGTTCTCGTTAGTAAATGAATACTGTCGTTCAGTTTCACTCATCAATAATGTTCTGAAAATTAAAAATATTTTCCATAACATCATCAGCTCTTTTACAGTCGTACTGCAAGGCCTAGTCCTTCCTTATGGATGGTTCAGGAGCACTACCATGACTCCTCCACGCTGCTGGTCCAATGCAGATTGGAGGGTATTAACGACTGCAAGTGCATCCGGGACCGGCGGATTAAGGTGCTTTCCGAAACACGGAGTAGCTCGAGATAATATCATAATTACTTGATCACCCATCCTGTAACCGATCCTTGCGGACATTGTTAGATAACACAGAGTATACTTTTCCATAACGTCTTTACCAATTTTAACACTTGGTCGTTATTTTTATATTAAAAAGAGGATTACAATGAAACTCGACGTCTACCTCAGCTGGTTTATAACAACGCTCATAGTTCGTCCCTCTCTCCTGTCATGATAAATTATACATTCTTCTGAGCTTTATAAATAATTCAGGAGAAACAAAGGACGCCATATTTATTGTACAGAAGATTGATGGGATACCTATTTCACTAAGATTAAAATAGCTGATCTTATAAATTGTATTCAGGATACAATTATTACAACAATGTACCTTAAATTGGAAATTTTGCTGACACTAACTAAAACAAATTTAGTTTTGAACTTGTCAGATTATATTTTAATTATAATATTTTTAAAAGCATAATCACTAGCTGTTGCCTGCAACTCCGCGTGGGTATCTTGTAGTAATGAAGTTTCATACTAACTACCAAGCTCCAAATAAATTTTTGAATTTCTTAAAATCCCGACTTAGTGAGAACCTACTTCTAAAAAGAACCCCCATGCAAAAGTTAAAAATCATATCACCACTAATATCTGAAATTTCGTGATGAGTTAGTGACCGTTCGCTTTTTAACCTATATATATTTTTGGACTAAAGTAGCTCGGTGGCGTAGTGGATAAGCGCCGCGGCTCGCCATCGTAGTCGGGTGACCAAAAAAAAATATTATCTCGAGCTACTCCTTGCTTCGGAAGGCACGTTAAGCCGTTGCTCCCGGCTGCATTTGCAGTCGTTAATACCCTCCAATCCGCATTGGGCCAGCGTGGAGGGTCATGGCCCATCCTCCTTAACCATCCATAAGGAAGGCCTGAGCCCCTGCGGTGGGGACGTAAAAGGGCTGGTGATGATGGTGATTTTTAGACTGCATGTGACATCATAGTAACATC